TCCACAAGTCCAGAGCTGGCTGGAGAATTCTGGGAGTTGAAGTCCACAAGTCCAGAGCTGGCTGGAGAATTCTGGGAGTTGAAGTCCACCCCTCTCTGAAAGTGGCCACGGTTGAAGAACCCTGCTCTAGTTTCTCAAGACAGTTTAGTCTTTTAAATATAGGTAGCCCTCGGACTTACGACCACCCGTTCATCCCGGTATTCTTCCCGCTAAACAAGACCAGCCGTTCCAGTGAATTTCACCTCGTTTCACCGCCTTTTTCTTGCCACCCTCGTTAAGCGAATCACTGCAGGGGGGTTTACATTGGTTAAGTGAACCTGGGGTTTGAACTGGCGACTGTGTGTGAAACCACCAGAAGCCCCTTCCTTTTAGTGCCCTCGCGACTTCAGTCACTAAATGAATGTTGTAAGCCCGGAATCCTGGAAACTTGCAAGTCTGATTTTTTTTTTTTTGCTGTATCTCCTTGTCCTGAGGCTCCAGTGAATCGGGGTGGAGTCTCTCTGAGCCCCTTCCAAATCTTATCTGGATTTTCTGGACTTTTTTAAAAAAAACAAGAATGCTTTCTCCCCTTTAAGTGTTGATGGAGGTTCTCAGCCATCGAGGTCCTGGTTGTCCCAATGGTGCTTTTCTTAGGAGGCAACTGGGAATTTCTGGGTTTTTCTTTGAAGACATTTCACTTCTCATCCCAGAAGCTTCTTCAGCTCTGACTGCATGGTGCAGAATGGAAGGATCTCTGCTCTTTGCAGACAAAGCTGGTCATTTGCATCCTTTTTAGAGAGTCGTTGAGGCCACTTGGAGGTTTGTCTGTGTCCTCAGGGTCACCTGAGTAGAGCAAATTGGTGTGGAACAGTTCCAAGAAGGCTCCACACCCCCATTTGCACCACTCAGGTGTCCCTGAGGACACAGACGAACCTCCAAGTGGCCTCAACGACTCTCTACAAGGAGTACAAATCCTTCCATTCCTCGCCATCCGGTCAGAGATGAAGAAGCTTCTTGGATGAGAAGCGAAACGTCTTCAACGAAAAAAAACCCAGAAAGTCCACTTGCCTCTTTAAAAAAAAAGTGGGACAACCATGACCTGGATGATGGGGAATTTCCATAGACAGGAGTCAACTGGACTTCCTCGTTTCTCTTTGAAGACGTTTCTCTTCTCATCCCAGAAGCTTCTTCAGCTCTGACTGGATGGAGGGGAAGGGAAGGATTTATACTGCTTGCAGACAGCTGGTCATTTGCATCCTTTCAGAGGGTCGTTGAGGCCACTTGGAGGTTTGTTTATCTCTTCAGTTGTCCCAGAGGTGCTTTTTAAAGAGGCACCTAAACTTTCTGGTTTTTCTTTGAAGAGGTTTCACTTCTCATCCAAGAAGCTTCTTCAGCTCTGACTGGATGGTGGGGAATGGAAGGATTTATACTTCTTGCAGACAGCTGGTCATTTGCATCCTTTCAGAGGGTCGTTGAGGCCGCTTGGAGGTTTATCTCAGAGTCACTTAAGTGGTGCAAATGGGTGTGGAGCCTTCTTGGAACCGCCCCCTGTGTTGAGGGAGGGCCGTTTAGTTGGGGCACAGATGGCCTCTTGGACCCCTCTTTCAAACCAGCGGTTCTCTCTGTCCAAAATGCGGACTTAGTTGTCTTCCAAAGAGCGGCTTTTGTCCTATAAACGCAGGTGGAAGTGCTGAACGTTGTCCCGATGGGTTTATTCTCCTCTGTTGGGCCATACTTCCTTCCCTTCTCCACCATCCAGTCCGAACTGAAGAAGCTTCTGGGATGAGAAGCGAAACGTCTTCGAAGAGAAACCAGGAAGTCCAGTCGCCTCCTGTCTATGAAGATTCCGCATCATCCAGGTCATGGTGGTCCCAAAGGGGCTTTTTTTCCCCCAAAAGGCAACTGGACTTTCTGGTTTTCTTTGAAAATGTTTTTTCTTCTCACCCAAGAAGCTTCTTCAGCTCTGAGTGAAGGATGGAAGGATTTTATATTCCTTGCAGACACAGCTGGTCATTTGCATCCCTTGAAAGATTGGTTGAGGCCACTTGGAGGTTCCCCTGTGTGCTCAGTGTCACCCGAGTAGTGCTAATGATTCCTGCAATCTGCAGTTTTTCCTCTAGGAATATCCCTTCCCTGCTCCCACACCATTCGGAGGATGTTCATTCCAAATTGTAGAGCTACAAGTCTGTAGAGATTCTCCATCATCCAGGCCAGGGTTGTCCAGGTGATCACTGGACTTTCTTGTTTTTTTCTTCGAAGACATTTCGCTTCTCATCCCAGAAGCTTCTTCAGCTCTGACTGGATGGTGGGGAATGGAAGGGTTTATATTCCTTGCGGATAGCTGGTCATTTGCATCCTTTGAGGGAGTCGTTGAGGCCACTTGGAGGTTTGTTTATCTCTTCAGTTGTCCCAGAGGTGCTTTTTAAAGAGGCACCTAAACTTTCTGGTTCTTCTTTGAAGAGGTTTCGCTTCTCATCCCAGAAGCTTCTTCAGCTCTGGCTGGATGGTGGGGAATGGAAGGGTTTATATTCCTTGCGGATAGCTGGTCATTTGCATCCTTTGAGGGAGTCGTTGAGGCCACTTGGAGGTTTGCCTGTGTCCTCAGGGTCACCTGAATAGTGCAAATGGGTGTGTGGAGCCTCCTTGGAACGGTCGAAAGGATTGTGGTTGTGGAGTTGCGCTTTCTGTAGGATGTTCAACTGTGAATGGAGACAGGGCAGAAAAAACATCCTGCGGAAAACACACACCTCCACAACCACAGTCCTTTCCGACGTCCCAAGAAAGCTCCGCGCACCCATTTGCACCACTCCGAGACAAACCTCCAAGTGGTCTCAGGGACTCTTTACAAGGATGCAAATGACCAGCTGCCTGCAAGGAGGATCAATCCTCCCACTCCCCATTTGTGGCTTATGCCCCCTTGCACAGGGATTTAGTCAGTTAATGGTTGGCACTAAATTGGCGCAAGGTAAGAGACTTCAAGAAGGGTTGGACCATTTGTGAGAAACGTCACGACTCCGGGCTTGTTCCTCTCTTGACTCCGTCACCGTGCTCTCTCCTTCTACAACTGCTGGGTTTGGTTTAACAACTGTAGTAAAAAAAATACAAAAAAAAAAGTTATAAAATCAGGCACGAACCACTTCAACTTCGCCTTTCTTTAGCAACGGAAATTCCGGGTCCCAGTTTGTGGTCGTAAGCCGAGGACGGCCTGCCCTTCCCTCGGGCTCTTCTTTCTTACTCTCTGCATCCTCCTAAGTCATGCCTCCCTTTGATTCCCCTTGACAGATTCCTCCGCGGCGCCTGCAAGAAGACGGATGGGACGTGTCCCTTTGCACACAAGATTTCGAAGGACAAGGTTGGTTTGCCTCGGTCGCTAAGGGGCTCTCTGCGGAGACAGCAGCCCGTCGGGGAGGAGAGCAGGGGTGAAAATGCCTCTGGACGCTTTCAATATCTCGGTCATTTGCACATTCCCCCGGCGAAGCATTTTCCCACAGTTAACGGGGACGCGTGCTCCTACCGAGAGCAGAGCGTGTCTCTTGCACCACCTTGAAGCGTTCGGCCCGCATCCGCGTGCCCCTCGGCAGCAACGGGGGCTGCCTGCCTGCCATTCTTTTTTTTTTTTTAAGTTTTATTGATTTTAACAACAAACAAAATCACACAAAACATAAAATATAAAACATAAAAGCATCCTCCTCCTTCATAGATTTACAAACAGTGTATCGGTTGGTTTACCGCTTTTTTTTTGTGCATCCATTTCCTAATCGCCATTATAGTTATATTACATAATAACTCATATTATCAATCAACAATTATATAACCTAATATCATTACTGAATCATCCTTTGACTATAGTTTTGTTAATTCATACTTTAACGAGATAACTATAATTGACTTAATTTATTTTACAACGGAACCTAAAATCATACCAAATCTATCTGAATAAAATTTTATAAAAATAGTACCAAAGGAAAAGGAAAAGAAAAAGGAAGTATATATTCATTATATCCTAAGTTTCTAAATATTCTATTATTATGTTTTATTATCTAACCATTGATAAAAAAAAAGGTCCCAAACTTCATAAAATGGTTTACCTTCTTGTTCTCTAATTTCAAATGTCAATCTACTCATTTCAGCACATTCCAATATTTTCTTAATAGTTTCTTCCTCTGATGGCTGCCTGCCCTTCTGTAGTAGGGATTACGGGGATAAAGGATAGAGCGGTTGAGGCCCCTGGCCAACACACACACACACACACACACACACACACACACACACACACATTCCTGCACAAGTAGATGTACCTCCAGGCCGATCGGCACCTGGGCCATGCAAAAAGAAAAAAAAAATACAGTTTAAACAACTGCGATGACCCGGGGCATGGCACAGAGGCAACACAGTTCAAAATGCCCCTTTATGGCTCCAACTTGACCCCAAACATTCCCACGTTTCTGACAAGTCCCAGAGCAAAGTGATCGCACACGCACACATACACACACACCCCTAGCAGACACTGGCTGCAAGTAGTCCAGCCGAACTCTGGGAGCACAATGGCTGCAAAGCATGAAATCCAGCGGGGCACGGGAATAAGTCAATGTTGTGGTTCGCCAGCAGCAGGTGCGGACGGCTGAGGTCTCGGAGAGCGAGGACTCGGATGAGGGTCCTGCGTGTGATGCAAGGATGGGGCCAGGACCACCAGGGAGTGGAGTGCTGCCTTTGGAGACTGTGGAGGCTGGCAGCAGTGAGGAAGAGTCCCCCGAGGAGCCTGTGCCCAGTGTGCATGCATGCAGGGCTGCTTGAAGGAAAGAGCAGCTGCAGCAGCAGAGGCGACTCGGGAGTAAGGCTGTAAGGGATAAAAGCCAGCCTTCGGGGTTGGCTTCTTTGCAGGAAGCAAAGACGTTCTTGCCCTTCAACCCTTGTGGAAGTTTGGACTATCCCGGTTGGTGTTTGGAGACTCTTGGTGTTTGAACTATTTCTTAGTAACTTTATCTACTGTTCTTGGCAGCCTTGGACCACCTCGGCAAGGCTCGTTCTTATCAGAGACAATTAGTTTGAAGCGGCCTTTTAATCTTGAAGGAACTGAATTCGTAAAGAATCATTAAAAGGTTTTGGTGTTGGTTTCCTTGGAACAAGGTTTGGGTCAGAACAGTCAATGAGTCCAGGAAGCCAAGGAACAAGGAAAACTAATCCAGGAAGGAAGGAACAAAGCAAGAAGTCCAGGAAACGTCCAACCTCGGCAACAGCACACAACCCTCCCTGAATTCCGCTTTCTTCCCGACAGCGAAGGAAAAGAAAGAAAGAGAAAAAGAAAAAGGAAGGAAGAAAGGAGAGGGACGAAGGAAGGAAGGAAGGAAGGAAGGAAGGAAGGAAGGAAGGAAGGAAGGCCGGCCCCTCCCCACAGCGTCTCCTTAAGCCTCAGTCCCCAAGTGTGCCTTGTGGAGAGGGGCGGGACGCTCTCCTCCCGAGTAAGTCGAGTCAGTCTGGGCTGTTCCCACCTTCTCTCCACTCTCCGTGCTCTCGGATCAGGAGGAGGTGGTCCTTGCTCCTCGCCTGAGCTGTGTCTCTCCTGCTCACCGCTTAGTCTCTCTCTTGGTCATCCTGCCCTCCTTCTTCCCTGCCTCACGCCGTCCCAATCCTGAAAGGCCCTGGTCTGATCCGGCCGGCTCTCCCCCATTTTCCTCCGAAGCCAACGAAGCCGCCCCGACAGTCTCAGTAGGCTCCAGTTCCAACTCCTCTTCCTCAGCAGATTCAGGCTTCGACAGGGACCCGACAACACCCTCCAAGCTCAGCATTCCAGGAGTTGATCCTAGCTACCCTATAATATAGGGGCCCCACGGTGGCTCAGCGGTTAAGATCCTGGGCTGGGCTAGAAGACCTCAGAGATCCCATCCACCTCTATTCCGTTTGTTGGCTGGAAAGCCGGCAGCCCAGGTTTGAGACCTGAGCGCCTCGTGATGGGGGTGAGCTCCTGTCATTTTGCCTCCGTGAGGGAGTCCTTGAGACCACTTGGAGGTTTACCTGTGTTGTGTGGCCCAGGTGGCCTCAAGGGCCCTCTAAAAGGAGGCAAATGACCAGCTGTGTCTGCAAGGAATATCAATCCTCCCCTTCCCCACCATCTGTTGGGAGCTGAAGAAGCTTCTGGGATGAGAAGAGAAACGCCTTCAAAGGAAAACCAAGTCCAGCTGCCTCTTGAAAAAGCACTTTTGGGACAAGATCTCCTCCTGCTCACCAGAAGCCCGAAGACTCTGGGCGAGAAGTTATTAGAACCTGCCTCTTGCAAGAAACAAAAAAACCTGCACAACAGACAGGTCCCCATTAGCCAAAGGACCCCCCCCCCCATTTCTTGCAACCTTAGAATGGGTGACGTGGATTCAAAGCTGTCCAGCC